GTGAATTTATTAAATTTCCTATACCCAAGTGACTCTGGGAAGCTTACAACAACTGTTATTGAATTGCTGAAAATTGCCCCACCTGTTTCCACTAGTAGAAGTTATCACTGGAAAAAGCTATTACTGGGTCAATATGTAATCCTTCGGCAATAGTAAGTCTTGGAGGAGTCAGCAGTTTCCCCAAAGCTTACTCAAAGTTTAGTACGCTAAGACTAGCTCTTATCTCCCTACCTAAGCTAAGATTGTTTACTTTGTTTAGTCAAAACACATATGACTATTTTAACTAAATCACCAACAAAATAAGTTGACTCTCAGTTCAGAAAACATTGTATCATTTACTCTTTTCTACTAGATAAATTTCCAAGAGCTGTCACACCCAACATGTATGACATCTGAACTCTTAAATGTCTTTTTCCTCTATCAGTTTTGGAAGAAGGCAGAGTGACTTTTTAAACATTGATTTTAAACATATAAATTACTAATGTTGCCATTAATTGAATCTCTTCTAGTGCAGATGAGCTTTTGCTGACAGAAATGATGTTCAATGGGCTTTTCAATGATTTATCTGCAGAACAAGCAACTGCTTTATTAAGCTGCTTTGTATTTCAAGAAAATGTAAGTTATCTTTTCCACAGAAGTGCCCATGCTAATGTGTTACAACAAAACAAATTAAAAATGAAGGGATTTGTGACACTTCTAAGACCTACTAGGTTTATTATATCGTGATAAACAGGAATTTGAGGACATGAAAAGATGCTTAGAGTATTGATAGAGAATACCAGGAGGAAATTAGCATGAGCTTCCATAAAATAGCAGTAGGGCACACTATGTTGGCTTCCTTCTCTGCCCTTATTGTTCCTGCAGTTGGTTATTCAGCAAACTTGTCCCCTTTGAGGAGTGACAGTAAGGAAGAATTGCTTCAAGACTGCACAGATAGGTTTACAAAATTCATTGAGAATTCACTCGGAACTTGACACGTACGACGGCACTAGTGTCTAATGATGTTATGTGGGATTCTTTTGAACCTGTGGAGTTCAAATAAATGAATTAGAGTCCTCTGTAGTATAAACTCAGCTATGTGCCATAGTTAAAGCTGCCAGAGAAAGAAATAATATATTGAATGATTAATGCTGCTTAAATAGGCAGGTAGTGCCTATCATTTTGAAGGAGGAAGCTGTGCAAGGAAACCTCCTTTGATTCAAATGTTCTAAGCAACGTCCAGTTGATTTCCATCGTTCTTTTTAGAGTAGGTTACTAAAAAGATGGGAGGTGAGTTTAGCCACTGAAGACTTTGAAAGAAAAGGTTCTATCTAAATAAAATGAAGTCATACTTCAATCTTGCAGATGGAACAAAAATAGTACTTGTCATCCTGTAGATAACCCATGAGAATGTGATGTCATGATGACTGTGTTTTTTAAAAATTATATTTATGTGGATTTAGTGTGCATTTTTATTATTTTGGTTTCATAGTGTTTTTATGATGTACTTTTTTATGAGCCACCCAGTTTCTGCAATTGAACTTGCATACGCTATAATGCCAAAGAAATGAACACAGGCACTTTCATGGCTCACTTCATCAGATGCATGGAGTAAATTCCTATAGGGGTGATGGGGAGTGGAAGAAAAGGAAATGACAGGGGAGGGAGGCTGGCGAGAGTCTCTTCAGCTCTCCAAACAACCCTGACCATTCCTTCTCCGTAGGAAGAGAGGAAATTTGTTGATCTGATCACTTAATAAATATGGAAATAATTCTGCAAGAAAAGTCAAGAGAACGAAATTAATTTTGGTTACAGAGCATATGTCAGAGATAACAGTGTTGGCAAGGAAGCTTTATCAAGATATTAAAAGTGTGATGACCACAGTCTGTGAAGTGTCTTTGATTCCACTTAAGGTTTTATGTGGTAGTTACATGAATTTTAAATTTGTAGAATATATAGAAGTTGTTGATGTGTTTTTTCAGTCTAGTGAAATGCCCAAACTAACTGAACAGTTGGCAGGTCCTCTCCGACAAATGCAGGTAAATGTTTTTCAGTTCATTACTTATGCATAAGTTATTCTAATGCATGGAGCTTTTACTTAGTATAAAATGTACTACAAAATTCAGATTGAAAGCTTAAACGTAAATTGGCAAGTGTGTTTTTCTAATGAGAAAAATGCATCTGTTTACATTAGAAGACTGTATAAATTTGTCTGCTTTTCTTGTCTTGCATCTTATATCACAATTGCAATGTTAATCAAACTTCTGAGGTCCAAACTGTCTTAAAGTTATGAGTTTCACTTAATTATAAATCTTCCAGCATAATTTAAAATTGTGTCAGCCTTGGAAGCCATTTTTTTCCTATGGAGCAACAAGTTTTGTTGAATTTGATTGGATAACATGATTTGGAAGAATTTATCTCAGGAATACTCTACATTTGAAATGCTGGGAGCTCTCATAATATGGCTGTCATGGATTGGATGGATATATCTAGTTTCATTCATTTGACAGAGGGAAACTGGCAAGGATACTCTGTTATGACTTCCAATCTGTTCCTTTGATTCATTTTTATTTTCTTAAGAGTTTTGAAGTTAAAGATAAGGCTAGAAATTGACATTTCACTTTAAAAATATATGTTTAAAAAAACATGATAGGAACTATACAGTAATATCTACAATCTGATTGATGCCTCAAGGAGTATCATTTGGGAATCCCAATTTTATCCAATTAATGTGAGCTCTGCTTTAGCCTGTGCCAGCATACAGATTTCCCTCTATGAAGCAGAAGCTATTTTTACATTAAGTAATTATATTCAAATAATTACTTTATTTAGAACATAAAAGAAATGTGTAAGACATACATTTTATTTCTCCTTCAAGAATAGAAATTAAACCATGACTGTTATGTGGGCTTAAAGACAATTATTTCTGTGTTTGGTTTGCTGATTTAAATAAAATGGGTTTTCGTTTTTAAGGAATGTGCGAAAAGAATTGCCAAAGTTTCAGCAGAAGCTAAATTGGAAGTTGATGAGGAAAACTATCTCAGTTTGTTCAGACCAAACCTGATGGATGTGGTATACACATGGGCCAATGGAGCTACATTTGCTCATATATGTAAAATGACAGATGTCTTTGAAGGTATGTGCGTTTATTTTGTTGCTGGAGTTAAAAATTAAAGACTCAAATACTTTAGTTTGTAAATAGTTGTGGTTCTACCGTGTCTTTTTCACTTTGGTAATTATTCTTAAGAAAGGAAGAACGTCCAACGAAGGATCAGATAACATGGCATTGTGTCCTAATAAATGATACATTATTTTTCCCCAGTTCCTTTAGGAGGGAGAAATTGGCTTTCACATTGAAAAACACCAAATTAGTTGCTCTTTTCCCAATTCCATTACAAATTTTCATGGGTATTTTCTTTTTTAAAAAAACTATGTATTATGGCATTTGTACTGAATACACCCAGCAAACCATAGTTTCTTGGTAGGGGTAGAGCATGGGTGTCAAACTCACGGCAACACAGCATTGTCACATGATGTATTGGGACTTTTTTCCCCTTTGCTAAACCGGGTGGGAGCGGGGCCAGCACATGATGCATGCAGGCTGCGAGTTTGAATCCCTGGAGTAGAGGGAGAATCGCCAATCATAGAACAATCAAATGGAATGATTGTGGCTGAAAAACCTTTGGGCTTCCATTGAAATTTCTGCCTGAGGGTTCTGAGAAATGTGTGATACTGCCTGTCCTGCCTCCTTCATTCAACTTTAGAAGTTTCTACATTGAACTTAAAGGTATTTACTGCAGGGTAACTAAATATTTGGTTTTAAACATTTTTTAAATTGTGAATTGGCTTAAATGCTCACTAGAAAAGCAGAACATAAATTGAATGAATAAACAAATAAACTGCAGTATTGGCCATTTAGTTTTTAAAACCTTGTTTGATTGTATAAAAACTAGATATTCTTTACTTTTCCCCACCCCCTACCCAGGCGTTAGCAAATATTGAATGTAATATTGTTTGCTGTAGCAACAGTTGCTTTGAAAGCAATTGCAGCCAGAGTAAATGTCAAAGGGTTTCTTTGCAAAAATAACTGACATCCAAAGGGGCTTTGCAGAGTGATAAAACACAAGTTCTATATATTTGGTAAATGTGATTTAGAAATAAATTCTCTGACTATGGACTGAAATTTGGTGTAACTGCACCAAAGGGTTGCTTCCTTTCTTGTTCATGTGCTTGTTTGAGGCCCCCTTTTCTCAGGTTGACGTGTGTGTGTGTGTGAGGGAGAGAGAGAAGACTTTGCTTTACTCACAAACAAGAGTAGTTATAACATTTTAATTTTTGAGAATTAATGAGAGTATTTCCTTAAAATACTAAGGGATCCCTAAGTTTCTGTAAATTCAAAAGAAGTTGTGAGCTGTTTAAGCCATTATTCCAAGGAAAAAAAGTAATGTTTTTTATGAGGTTGTGAGCATCTACGACCTCTTTATAAATCAGGAAAAAATGAGACTAGATAGAAGTAATCTTCCATTATGTCCATCTTCCGCCCACCACTATGCCATTATTGGGAGGATCAGGGATGCCAAGGGAGGAAAAATAAAAAGAGGCCTGGAGTTACTTTTGTTACATATGCATTTTATTGATTGCAGTGAAGCAGGCAGGCAAATTTGTGAACAGTTGCATTTATAAATGCGATATAAAAGTGTCCTCTTTCATTCTCCATGCGATAAAAGGTTTTCCAGTAAGCAAATTGTTGTTTTTTAAACGGGAGACCAGAATTGCACAATGAGCTAGATTTCTTGTGGTTCAACACTGGACAAGGTGGGATGATTAAATTTGATTAAGCGGCCCACAATAGCATTATTCACTAAGGTAGAAAATTATGTAAAACATAACCAAGGCACTGACAATAGCAGCATTACTTTTTTTTGTTAACTCCATGTAAATTGCAAATATTTATTTCCATATATCAGATAAGCAAACAAAAATGCTTCCAAAAGTGAGCAGTAATACTGAAAGGCACTTTTCTCAGTCATAGCAAAATACACTGAAGTAAAGTTTTAGTGATATATTGTCAGTTTGGAGAGAAGGTGGGAAAATACAAGCGGCGGGTTCAGTGAGCACATATGCTCACTGAATATCTTGGCACATGGAATTTATTTGTTGCCTGACTCGATGTAACACTTTTTTTATATGACCGTAAAGGTTCTCTAGATGTGAGAATTCTTTATAGCTTTTTACATCCTTTGATTTTGATATCCTTTGATATAAAAATTATTATTTCTCAAAATAAGTTTGCTTAAACTGTAGAAGAACTCAGCGTTCCAAGCTGTTGTGGCTCAGATTTATTTCCTTTTGATAACTGACTCCGGATGACTTTTTAAAAGAGTTGCTAGATTTGCAATAAGGCAATTAAATTTAATCTTTTGAATTGATGAAATTGTTCATTATATGGGCCTCATTTCTTCAAATTGTCATCAATAGCAAAAATATCTATTCCCTGCCTTAATCTATACTCCCTAGATTACTTTTCCAGTTCTAGCTCTAATATTCATTTGAATGTTTTCCAGAATGTTTGAAGCAAGACATATACCTTTCATAGGTGTCATTGCAGAATATAAAAATATACAGGAGGGAGGATAGGTAGATTCTGGGTTCTTTTAAATAACCTGCATTCACAATAAATCTATAGCATATGCTAAGGCTAAAATATAATACATGAAGTTTCTTGTATTTCCTTCCCAAAGCACAGATTGAGGGGTGTCTTGAAATGCCCCAAAGACCACAAAGTACATAAAAGAAATAATCTCTGGATTTCAGAGCCATTTTTAAACTTTTTGTTATATTCTTTTTGCTTCAGATGAAGAAAATTGAATGAGCGAGCTTGATTTTACATAAAGCTCCACAAAAAAAAAAAACCCATATTAGAGGCAACAGTCCTGCTTCATAGAAAGGGCTCACAGAAAGGGCTTGTTTCTTTGTAGAAAATGACTGCTTTAACATAATTGACTTTGAAAATGACTACTTTACCATTTCTGTCTATGTACATTTCCTCATTCAGGTAGCATAATTCGATGTATGAGGAGGCTAGAAGAATTGCTTAGACAGATGTGCCAAGCAGCAAAGGCCATTGGAAATACAGAACTGGAAAACAAATTTGCAGAAGGTTTGTATGTACAATATTATATAAATACGTGCATCTTTAAATGTAAAATATATTTACAAGCAGTTTAAAATTGCTTGGCGACAAGCCAAAGTATTCCATTTAAACTGAACATGCCTGTTATAATCTGCTGTTGCTGAGGTTGAAAAAAAAAAAGGGGGGGGGGTTAACCTAGGAGTCTACTAATGTTTTCCTAACAGTCAAAATAGCTGCACAATAGTATCTTGAGGTGGAAATTGGGAAAAAAATAAGATATTTTGAAAATTCAGCACTGGATTTTAGTTTCATTTTACTACATCTCATTAGCATGAGCAAGTAGTATCCAACTACAGCTATGCCATTAACCGTGGATATATTCTTTTCTTTTTTATTCTCAACAGGAATTACAAAAATCAAGAGAGACATTGTGTTTGCTGCAAGTCTTTATCTATAGGATGACTGTGGTGTCTGAACAGCCTTCATTCTGCAGCAGTTACTCCAAGAGCCACTAAAATGACCAGTGCTTCCTCTTCCCAAGCAAGACAGATTTTTATTTTGAATGTATTCCCATTGCTGTTTGTAATAAGTGTTATACATTATTTTAATTAAAAAATAGTCAGGATATTGTGTTTATAAGCATAAGCTTGAACCAATAGAAATTGGAGTTTTTTAGATACATTGTTGTTAACTATATACATATAAAGTGAGCACTTAAGAGGTATAGCAGCAGCAGTCCCTTCAAAAGGCATTTATTTGTTTTTTACATTAGACAAGAAATATTTGTGAAATTTTCCTTTTAAATAGCAGGAGATTCCACAGGATAATAGCTCTTGAACATATCATGGCTGGTGATTACTGCCGTAGTGATTTCCATTGGTAGGCGTCTCATGTAGAGTTGTATGTGAATCTTCTTCCTCCTTCTGTTTAAATGTACGCCCTCTCTCCTTGAAGAAATCTGAGACATACACAACCTGTAGGAACACAATAGTTGGTATTACCCATCAGCAGATAGAACAGTGCTTACATTATTGTTACTGTCCTTCAGAAGCCACTGGGTACACTTGAACTGGAAGACTTTCTCTAGAAGTGGTGGTAGACACCCAACAATTGATTTACAGAGCAAGTAGGGGGGAAAGACCAATATGTGGGATAGTGAAATGTGGTAAAGGGCTGCTTTGTTCTCCAGTATTGGCAAATGCAAAACTTCATGTCATATTTTCCACACTGCAGTGAACCTATGACACACAAAACTGGCACTTTAAATATATGTAAGCCCCTTTGTGATTTATTTCGGGAGGGGGGAACCCCCGAAAGTATTAAGTCAAATTAGCTTATTTGAAAATGGAATTGATCAAATGATAGGAAAAAAATGGTACAGACTTACAATAAGGGTTGCTACCAGTGCTCCCTGGATGAGTCCAGTCAATACATCGCTCCAGTGATGTTTATAATCAGAAATACGGGAGAGGCCCACGTAAATGGATGAAGCAACAAGTCCAAACTGGACTGTAGGACGCAAAAGTCTTGCCCAGTCATTTTTCATTCTGGCCTGAAGATAAAGCTAAAATCGAAAAAGCACACTTTCAGCAAGAGAATGGAAGATCTGTCAAAAATTAAACATTTTTTTGTAGAAAATACAATCACGTAATGGATATAGTATCGGCATTGCAGAAGGCCTTGCTAAGATAAGCATAAAGACAACTTGAGTGCTGTTTCTTCATATTCAGTATTGTACTTAACATTTTTACAGACATCCTATCAGCCTATATATGTATGTATAAAATATTGCTCATTTTTTAATTCAAAGTGATGCGGTGTTCAATAATAAGCTACAGGTGTTATTATGGTTGTCTTTTCTGAATAAGATTAGTCAATGCCACAATCATTTCTTTGACAATCATTGTGAAAAAACATCTTACAAGTATTCTGAGGTGTCTAAAAGTTCTTAGAGTATAGCAATATTAATCACAAAACAATAGCAGTAATGACCAGAGCAGGACATGGCATTTTCTAAAGAGGCTTCCACTTTTCTCCTTTCAGAATAGGCACAAAAGTGCTCCTTCTTCCCAAGCAATATTTGCCTAGAACCGACCTTTCAGACCTAGTTCCTTAATATCCATAAGGGAGGAACACTAAGATGTTAGCAAATAATTTATCCTCATATACTATAACTGTTCAACAAATAATTATATGGTGTCCTGGACATGAAAAATACTAACAGAAGCAAATCATTATGTAAAGTCACATATATTATGAACTGAACTGCAAGTCGCATGTGTGCTTCCAAAGATAAACATGAAAAGTTTCCTGCCTGTTAGAAACATTAGATCTGAATGAATACACATTCACAGATTTAGGTTTCTGAAACTAGTGATTACATCACCCTTTTGGTACTCATCTGTGTCATTCTGCTATAAAAAGACTGAAATTTAATGCCATATGGAGCAATTTTTAACCAGGTAAGTTTTTCATAGATTTAAGCTGTACTTGGTCTGACTTTCTGAAATATTTATATGATTGAAGTTTAAGGCATTCTGCAGGCACATTCTTCAAAGATGAATGCAGGAGTTTTGACACCAAGGCAGGTATGAAGTTCAACATAGTAAAATTGCATAGTAGTGTTCCAAGCCAAACAGTCTCTAGACCTTTTTTGTGACTGTGACCGTTACACTAATGTAAACCATTTAGTTCCAATGAGAACTACAGCCAGGAGTTATTCTGATGCTCTAAAAAAAGCAGACTGGCAATATATCCTGGCATTCATCCTTTTTTCCAATTTAGGAATTCCACTGAAGACATTGAAAAATGCTTTGCTTGGTTAAAATGGTTTCCATACACAAGCAATTGCTGTAGTTGGCAGAGCGACATTACACATGTAGGAGGGAAGGTGGTATATGTGGTCATGAGTGGGAGAAAAGGTGGAACCTTAAGACAGTCGTTTAGAAACCTGTGGTTCGTACACAAAACGGGTTGAATGCCTGGGAGCTAGGTGGTAGCTGGTAGGATTTCATCCAACTTGCCAATATGTCAAAATTGAATGAATGATTAAAATGTGGTATTTGAACCTCCCTGAAGTAGAAATGGTTTCATAAAGCAGTACTCTGAACAACTGAGATGGCAAAACAGGAAACGTGGCTTTAATGTTTATTCATGGGTTTTATTTCCATATGTTAGGGGCACTAAGTTGCTCTGTTTTGCCAGGCTCCGGGCAGAAATAAAGAAGAAACGGTATTTGCTTCACTGTCTCTCTTCAGATGTTAAAAAAATGTGATTAATGATGAAATAAAATAAATTCTAAATACATCTATGACTGAGGCAAATTACATGATATGAGAGTCTTCTCAGGTTGGATAGGGTTGGAGTTGGGTCCAGCATATTTGTGATTTCTCAGGGCACATCACTTTCTGGGACTTTCCATCATAAAAGCCCTGAAGATGGAGAGTGGCAGGAGGCAGGATGACCAGACTTCCTCTGAGATCAAATCTCTATATTGAGGGAAATGCAAAGTATTTTTATTCCCTATTCCAAAAGCTATATGACATTTATGCCCATTTGTAGATTATAAAGTTTACAAACTCATCCTAGAACTTCAATTTTTTTTTTAATATTAAACTGTTAAACCGTACATTAAACTGACAAGATTCTATAATGTTAGTTTCCTTTATTTGCAACAAGTAATTTGCAATCCTATATTCATGTTACCAATAAGTTCCACTGTCTTTCAGAAGCTGTTAATTGGATTCTATTGGCATTTCTGGGTGGAGATTATTACAAGTATTAGGTAGCTAATGATTCAGTATGTTAGAATCTTTTAAATCTGGAGTGGCATATAAACTGTATAAATAATACACTGAGGTGGAACCAAGAGTTAGATTTCAGTTTGTTCAGCAATTGGGATGTTTCCAGTGGATTCTTTTTTTTTTCTCATGAATATTGTGCAAGCTTTTGGACTGCTGCCAATTGCAGGGGAGGAGCAGGAGTATGAGGGGTTAAGTGGTCACAGCGAAGTGGGAGTTTGAAAGATGCTGGTCATGGAGACAACAGTGCCAAGGCATTTCTCAGCTTGCTGGCCCTAAGCAAAAGGATGGAGACAAATGACTTGTTTATAAATTTACAACAGAGCCATTTCTCTACCCTATTCCAAAGGTAGTAATTTATATTGTATTTAATTATATTACATGATGTTGTATCTACAGGCTACATTTAAAAGTTCTTCTATTAATTTAAAATGACCTACCGTAGTTCATGACCATCCACAGGTTACATCAAGATGTGTTTAGGTAAGATAGGTAACCTTTCACCCATAATTATACAATTTTTGCTACAAATATACTAAGTATATTATTCCTGGCTTTTGATCCAAGACATTTTTCATTGGAAGTTGAAATGCAACCCTCATTCTGCTACATGCCTTTTTCAAAAAGTACCATGGCTCCATTTAATATATTTCCAAGAAGAGAAACATTTGCCTTCTAAAAACATCACAGCCAGCAAACTTAAAAGGGTTTTTGGAACCACCATTAAATAGTTGTAGAAGATCTGACAAAAAAATGAGTAATGTGTAATTATTTCTACTCATTTTCTCCAGTTCTTTGTTCACAAGACTGCCAAATCCTCTGGGTGTAAATATAGAGCTGCCTCAACAAGACAGATTTTTGGGGAGATTCTTCTTAGTGCCTGGTTATGACGTGCTCCACCACAGCAAACTTTTCCACTACAATGCTGCTCTTGCTATGTCTCTCCATGCAATTATACTCTGCAATGAGCTCTCTTCTCACACAATCTTGACTTAACAGCTTATAAGATGCAAGCTACGCATTATATTTTGTTTTTAATATCTACAAAGAACTACTGAATGAAAGAATAGAGGAGGTGGTGTACATCTGCAGAAGTCAGACTTCAAACAAAGACTGAGATAATCAGAAAATTTTAAGCCTTAAACTCTGCATTGTAGTTTTAGCCTCTTTTTTTGTCCTATACACTAAATGTAAGTCAGATGCTTGCAGATCGTGTTTAAAGCCAAGACCATAGAAAATAAAGGGGATTTTAACTCTGAGGTGATCATCTAATTCACAGCCCTATCCTGTATAGTCATATATACGATGGATACTTCTGAATACAGTCACTGCTGACATAGAGGGATGTGCAGTATATGTTATATCTTATCTATTAAAGATCTCTGTCTCATTATAAGGGCAAGCAGAGGAAAGAGATACTGAGGCAGCATTCTAATGTTCATAACAGATCAATATCACCCAGGGAAGCCATTCAATAAAGTGGGCCCAGGCCACAATTGAAAGTCATCTAAAAGGGCACTTTGAATCCTAGTCCTGGTTTTTCTTTACAGGGCTAAATTCTATTCATCTGATGTGTTTATGATCCTCAGTGGAATGAAAGCAGCAGAGAGAAAAAGGATCCAAGCATAACAACACCTGGTCTGAAACAGGAAAATTTAGATACCTGAACCAGTTCATAAAAGATCACCAATCCCTTCTTTAAATTTCTTCAGTTTTCTGTTCTTGACATATAGAGACACACCTCTTTATTTCTATAGACTCATGTATGGACTTTGTTGAATGTGTGCAAACCTCTATTCTTTGAAAATAGTTAAACATTTGGAGGTAGCACCAAAAAAGGATCAACTGATTTGGTCAACAAACACGAAGAGGTTGTACTTTGGTCCAAATGTAGGCATAGGATTGCAGCAACGCCACTTTAAAATTTGCTTTAGAAGAAGATTTTTTTAAGTTTTTCAATAGGGACTTTAAAATCCTGTCAGCTAACCCATTTTGCAGAGCTAGCCTGCCAAGCAAAAGATATAAGGCTGAAAAAAGCCTCTCTGCTGCCAAGACTGCCACAGTCTGCACAGAGCATACATCTAAAACTCAGCCTATAGTGAAAAAGCCATGACCGCTGCTCTTGTCTTAGCCAATAGGTGCTCCTGCCACAGGCTCTCCTAGGGCAATGGTTGCCAATCAGTGGGCCAGGAACCACTGGTGGTCTGTGAGAAAATTTCGGTGGTCCACAGAGAAATGTCACCCCAAAGCACCCCCCCAAAGCAATTAATCCAGACTGCATGGGAACACAAGGCTGCGCTGCCCACATGGCCCGCAGGAACACAAGGCTTGTGTCACTTGCATTGTGAACAACACGAGGTAGTGAGGGGAAGGGGGAAAGGGCGGAGCAGGTGAACTTGCCTCATGTGCCCCATGTGCCTCGCCTGGCCACTGGGCTGCGTCTTTCTGCTTCTTTCTTTTTTTTGCCTTTGGCTGCACACAAGGAAAGCAGCAAAAGTCTTTCTTTCTCTCCCCCAAGCTCCACCAGAAATGAGTCTTTGGGACCCTGCAAGGCATCCTGGTCCAAGAGGCTGCACCATTCTGGCAGAGTTTGGGGAGAGAAAGAAAGACTTCTGCTGCTTCTGCTGCTTTCCTTGCATGAAGCCAAAAGTCTCTCTCTTTCCTTCCGAGAATGGAGCTGGAAACGGTATCCTGCGATACCAAATAAAGAATGATTGATCGGTATGAAAATGGGGTGGGGAATTTTCCTGCAGACTTTTTGGGG